AACAGCTTTCTGCTCCATGTAACTGGTTTGTTCTAGCCGCTTGAGGCGCAGACACCCAAGGAAAGAGAAAGTCCCTGCTTCTGCGGTCGCTTCCCACACAGGTTGCAGTCAAAACAGTGTTGTTGTGTTTTAAAGTCTCAGTATGAGGCCAGGAACGATGATGCAATTAATCCTACTGGATGAGAATAGGACCATACCACGATTTTTGAGTACTGGCCAGGACGATGGACACTGATCAGGTCTAGGCCTGGGATTCCCAGAGAATGGCGCCAATTAGCTAGGTACTTACAAAGGCAAAACCCACAAGGCTGTGTCCTTCCTCCCTTTGTCCATCAGGGGCAGCACACATTCTGATATTCATCCTAACTACAGACCACGCACCTACAAGCACATCCTGTGCAGTAGGGACAACCTACCTTGTTTATAGATGTGAAAACACATGGCTTGTTATCTTACAGGAACAACAGCCCCCAGCAGTCCGGGAAGTTATCTCCCCTTGGGCTTACAGGTGAGAGGCATTTTTTGTTTTATAGCACAGTAATTAAAACTTAAAACATAGCCGGGCAGTGATGCTGCAAATCTGTCACCCCAGCACTCAGGAGGCAGAGGCAGGCAGATCTCTGTTTGAGGCCAGCCTGGTCTATAATTCAAGTTCCAGGGCAGTCAGCCAGAGCTATTGCACAGGTAAGTGCTGCCTCAAAAAAACCAAACAACAACAACAACAACAACAAAACTTCAGACATATCTTTAGCTCTCACAGTGCCCTTCGGGTGCCCAGGGGATTTAGAACGGGCTGGCAGAGACTGGGGAGGATTCTACCTGGCTTCTTTCTACTTGTTACATGCCAGCTTCAATGGCATGATCCCCAAACACTCGGTGAGGATCCGGGACACACACATTTTAGCTAAACTAGAACCCATTTCCTCCTCTCTCCCACTAGCTCCTCCCTCCCACCACCATTAACTTCAGAACATAGACTGAAGGGCAAAAGTTTGATTTGGCCCCCGTAGGATTCTCAGAAGTGCTGCTTTAAAGGAGTAGAAGGAGGATGGCAGAGGCTAAGGGGAGCCTCCCACTCTGCAGGAAGGGTGGTTGCCTGGTGAGTTACCTGTTGGATCCTCATTACCAGATGAACCAAAGAGCCAGAGCTGGAGACCCTAGTGTGTGCATTAACATTCCTCTCCCATTCAAAGTCCAGTCGCAGGAAATTCACAAGCTATTCTTCAATGGAACAAGTATTTCCTGAAGGCCCTACGCAGGAGCTGCTCAATGAGGGCCACTTAGCAACACACTGAGTGCCACAAGCAGACTCCTGGGGATGAATGGGGAAAACAAGTCACATGACAAGGTACCTCAGGACACTTGCATTCCCCAGACAGACAGACAACAAGAGGAAGTCACCAAGACTAACAAGGAAGTGCTCTGAATTATCTAGGCTGGTGTGGCCGCTGGCAGCCTGAGGCAGCCTCTGCTAGCTGAAGCAGGTTGTCTGGGCTAAGGAAGGGGCAGCCCAGAGAGGCCTGATGAGGGGACAACAAAGACAAACTTCAAACCTGTCCCTCTCAGACCTGGCCAGGGCGGCAGAAAACTGAAAACATCGACAGCTTCAGGTTCATGTCCAACGCAACTTGTCCCAGTCCTCTTGAGAAAGGTTCTCAGTGTCAACCTTTTGGGAGCCCCAGGCACGGGAGGAAGGACTGTGGATCTGAACCTTGTGTCCTGACCTTCTTGGATCGCTGGTGTTGGGATGGGAATCATCGATGGCCCCAGCAGGCTACTTCTCTCTAGTAGGGCTCTTCTGAAAATTAAGGTTACAGTGCCTAGCATGCAGCAAGGGTTCGGCCTGACTCAGATCTCACTCAGCTCTCTTCAGGGACCTGAAGTCCTTCAGGAGATGCACCTCATGGTAGGAGCAGGAAGACGTTGATGTCCTTAGTGACCTCCTCGATCATCCTGACCACACCACCCTTCTACCAGTCTATCTCGAAGATGACCAGCCACAATAGGGGCACCCTCTTCACCCCAATGTCTTGAGGAATCTCAAAAGAAGCTCAGTGCAGGTTGCTGACCTACAGACCGAGGTTGGAGGCCAGCTTCCCATCACGGTACACAGGGGCTTCTCACTCCTACCTCTCCACCTCTCACAGCTGAATTTAGGTTTCAGTTCTCCGAGAAGGGCAAAACAGATGCCTCTCCCGACAGAGGGTCATTCATCCACAACGCCCTTGCAGTCAGGGATGAGGGAGAGAACAAACACAGGACCTAAGTCAGCCTCACAGTGTCTCAAGGACAAATCCCACAGCCCCGTTCTGAGTCACATCCAGACTTGCCCAAGCTTGTGCAAGTATGTCCAAAAATGATAAAGACTAAACCTCAGCCGATTAGCAATATCCTGACGGAACTGCTGGTTGCCTAACCAATTAAGTATAAGATGACTGACTATCCCTGCAACTCCCCTGAGCCGTGCTTAAAAGAACGACCCCACATGGATGCTGGAATATTAATAAATGCTCTTTGCTCTTACATACTATTTGAGTCTGGGGTCTTCATTCAGTGTTTCCTCGGACCCTTACATTAGTTGGACCCCTCTACCTGGGGATCCTTACTCAGAGCCCGTGCAGCCCAGTTCATACTCACCTTCTTTCAAACCTAAGAGCCAGGCCAGACTTGGGGCCGGCTAGTTAATTTTACCTCGTCCTGATCAAGCACCTGCAGAAGCGATCGAGGGAGGAAGGATTTATTTCAGCTCAACGTTTCAGAAAGTCTATGTTTCTGGACCATTATAAGGGGACTACCAATGGCAGTAGCAGGGTGTGGCCAAGGAGAGGTTAGAATGACGTCAGACGGGAAGCAGAGAGAAGGAAGCTGAGTCGGGAACAGAGTGCAGTGAAGCCTCCAAAGGCACGCCTCCACCACGCTGTTCTCCAGCTAGCCTCTGAAGGACTGCCAGACTAGAATCCCTCCTACCCCTGCCGTCCTCTTTTCTGAACCCCTCTGCCCTGCACTGTGCCTCCTGTGAGACAGTGGGTTTAGATCCTCGGTTCCCACGGGAACCTGCTTGCAGGACACCATGGTATCAGGCATTGGTATCTTTACATTAGTTTAGTCCTTGTTTGAACTCTAACTTCATGAGCCTTAGAGTGGGATACTGGAACCTCACAATGACAGTGTTTCCAAGAACTCTAACACAACAAAGGCCCAGAGACCAGATGGAGAGGATACAGGGGAATTCTGGGGCGTTAATTGTACTGTCTCCTCAGGCTCCACCACTCTGAAGGTCAAGGTCACTCCTCCCTCCACACATCTCTCCTGGTCTTCTCTTTGGCAGAGAGCACACCTATTATCACGTATTGTGCCCAGTGCTCCCAAATCCATGCCTGTGCCCATGATGTCTCTGAACTCCCCACCAGGGGATCACACTGGCACGGTTTCTGCCCGGGTCTGTGAATTCCCCTTCCCACCCATGCTTCCCGCACTTCTGCCCAGAATTCCAGCACCGGTGCTGGCTGTGCCCTGAGTCACACTTGCTACCACTCCCCTCTTCCTCCATCCCACCACTGCCCGAGCCAGAGCTCCACTAGCCTCCCTGTGAGGACGGCCCACGTTCAGTCCGTGTTTGGGAGCAAGTGTGGGTGACTTTCCTGCATAGAAAAGATTAAGATTATTCAGAGACGATTGGAGGCTTTCTGAGGCTCCCGTGGGTACAGCTGAGCTCCGTTCCTCCCGCTCCTGCTCCTGACTTCATGCCTCTGCCACTGCTTTTAAAGATGCTGGAGAGGTAGCCATGGAAACAGAGGTGGTGAGTCACCAAATTAGAATGAACCTGCCCAGCTGCAATGTGAAGTCTCAGGGGAAGCTGATACTGAGATCAAATAGGGAAATTCTGTGCCTATAAGACATGGAGAACTGGGCAGTGGTGGCCCATGCCTTTAATTCCAGCACTTGGGAGGCAGAGGCAGGTGGATCTCTATAAATCTGAGGCCAACCTGGTCTATAGAACAAGTTCCAGGACAGGCTCCAAAGCTTCACAAACACACCCTGTCTTGAAAAACAAAACAAAAGCAAAAGACACAAAGACCCCGAGAATAACTATCAGAAAATCACCATGTGCTGAAGGTTTGAAACATGGGACTGTTTCCAGATGAGAACCCACAAGTGACTCACGGACTGGCACAGTGCTTGGGAGATTGTTAAGCAGATATTTCTATGAGTATTGGGCCAGGAGTGGATGGTGAACTTAATACTGCAGATGCCTAAGTCAACCATTTTAACACTGAATTATTGGTTGTGAGATAATAATTTGTGACAGGGTATGATGGCCAATACTTTAATCCCAGCACTCAAGAGTCAAAGACAGGAAGAATGTGGTTTTGAAGGCAGCCTACACCACAAAGCAAGTTCGAGGCTAGCCTGAGGTACGTGATGAACTGCCTCAAAAGCTCAGGTATGGTGGCTAGTTAGTATCAATCGATAGTATCTAAAAATGCATGAGAGAGGAGCCTCTGAGATTGCCCATGGGGGAGGTTGCTTGAGGACATGCCCACTAGGGGTGGCTCCATTCCCTAGGCTGGAATCTTAGCCTATCTGTGTGGAGAAGGGAGCATGGCACCAGCAGGCATCCACTGTCCTCTGCTTCCTGGCTATAGGGACAATGTGACCAACAGCCTCACGCTTCTGCTGCCTGCCTTGACTTCCCCGCCATGATGGACCACACCCTTGAACCGTGAGAAGAGCAAAGCCTCAACCTGCTTTTGTCAGAGTATTCTATCTCAATAACAGGAAACCAAGACAGTAGCGTCTAGTAGCTTAGAGGTAGAGCACTTGCCTAGCATGTATGGTATAAAAAATAATTTCCTAAAATTCTATGTAATTTTGACACTATCACCTTAAAAACTTTCTTTAGCTTTTTTCAACAGAAAAACATTAATATAAAGAATTATTAATAAATAAAATACTCTATTGACCAGCAATAATTATCAGTTTGAAGTATTTTATTTGGCAATATTTCAGTTTTTAAAGAGCTAAGGGTTAAACATTTTCACATTCTCTCCCTCCCTCCCCTCCTCACACACACATACACACTCACACACACGGGGGGGGGGGGACTGTAACTGGTGGCTCCAGTGTGACACTACCCAGTTCTTGAGCCCACAGATTAAGTCCAGACAGGTGTCCTCGTCAACAGATATTGCCAAAGATAGTCAGTGATTTTTTTTCTCTCTCCAGCTGGGCCAAGTTAGCAAACTTGCAAGATGCCTAAGAGAGGTCCAAAGTCAGAGTGTATCTGTTCACACCTACCTGCTTCCCGCTCCCCACACCAGCTCCCTATGCTCTGTCACCCCTTAGATGGCCTGCCAAGTCACTTGCTCCATGAATCTGCAGTGGTCAGCAGCTCCCTCTCCCAGACTTCTGTACAGAAAGTCAGAGACTTGTTAACCTAAACCTCTGCGTGACAAGGTTGGTCAAGTTGACACAGATGCCGGGAAAAGGACCAGTTCCTAGGACAAGTTCCCACAACTTCCAGTACAGGAATTGTCCAGTACAGGAATTGGGCAGAAAACGCCCACCAGACCATAGTCAATGACATTTAAAATAACAAACCTCTGGGAAAGAAACACATGGCCCATTTTCTGTAAACCTACTTGGTTAAAAAGAAGAGGGTGGGATATCAAAGGAGAGTTCGGGGCCAGGGTGGTGGTGTGAGGGGAAGGCGCTGTGGCTATGAACCACGTGGCGAGTTTAACAGGGGCTCGGAGGCACCTGGAAGGTCATCAAGGGATTTGAGTTAAGTTTACTATACATTCAAGAATGTGAACGAGGCCCAGCGTGGACCACCCCAGGCTCGAGGAGGAAGCATGGTCCTGCCCAGCGCCACGATGATTGAGAGGGACAAGGAGACCCACAGGCAGGCCTGCAGTGGTCTGCCCAGGGCTCCGAGGAGAAAACATGGGCAGATGGGCACTGTTGCCGTGACCAAATAGTGCTGGAGAGAGAGAGACAGAACGGCTCGTGTCCTGCGGACATCTGCGCATCTGAAGAGGTAAAGAGGTGCAGGATGGGCTGACGTGGGTGACGTGATGGCCACCCAGGGCCATGGTGATGTCTAGGCCTGGGCTACTGCCAGGGCCCATGCCTAGGTTCATGGGCCCCGATGTAGCCATGGTCTGTATTGATGTCTATGGCTACATACCACAGAAGGCTGCCAGGAGAGGGCTGAACAGAGTTGGTCCTGCTCCTCACAGGGTGTAACACTAGGGAGAACTGGGCCTGCCCCTCACTGGCTGAAGCACTCAGGAGAGAAGGTCCTACACGTTACTTGGGCAGCACCATAGAGCTGACCCCGCTCGCAAGGGCAGAGGTGAGCTGAGGGGAAGAGAATGGGAGTGTCGGTCCATGTGGTGAGGGAAGATGACTCCCCTCATCCCTCACCATCTGGAGCAGCTGGGGGACCTCACCCAACCCCTCATTAGGTACAGCACTCGAGAGAACAGGGCCTTGGGCCTTGCCTGGGCGGCCAGAGGTTTTGACCCTGTAGACAGGGGTACAGGTGAGCCAGCCCTGAGTGTGTGAGGAACATAGCTGGTACTGCCTCCCTGTCTGCAGTGTGGGATGGGGGCAAGGGAAAGATGCCCTCCCCTCTAGCCCTTAACACCTCCAGCTGGCAAGGGAGCTGACCCTTCCCTTTGCCAGCTCCAGCACTTGAGGAAGCAGTCCCTGCACCTCATCGGGGCAGCACAGCAGAGCTGACCTTGTTGATGGGCAGAGGTGGAGGTTTGGGGGGAGTGAGCCAGCCCAAGAATCTGAGCGTGAGAGATCTGGCCCCACTCCTCACCTGCCAAATGGTGGCATGGGGCATGGGTAGGGGAGAGATGCTCTCCCCCTCCCGAAGCCTTGCACAGGACAGCACAGGAGAGCCGACCTTGTTGGTGGAAGTGTGGGTGAGCCAGCCCAAAGTTGTGAGCTTGGAAGATCTGGCCCCGCCGTCATCTGCCATATGATGGTGTGGGTGGGGGAGAGATGCCCACCCCTACCCCGGCTGTCTGTGGCAGGTGGGAGAACTGTCCCTGCTCTTACCAGCTGTAAGAGAGGTCCCTGCCCAACTGGTCCTGAAGGCGTAGGTATGGGAGACTGACTCCGAGGACTCTGAGAACTGGACCTGCCCCTTGCTCATTGCCCCAAAGAGTGAACAAGCCAGGACAATGCCGGAGGACTCACCCTGATGGTGAGGACAGAGCAGCTGGAAGACTGGCAGACCCTGCAACTACCCAGGCTCATAACCAGGGCTGTGAGTTGGCCCACCCCCAAATCCACCCCATCTATATCTGCTGGAGCATTGAAGGAGCCAGCTCTGCAGACCCAGAGGTGCAGGATCTCCACAATACAGAACAAGAACAAGATATCCAAGAGGAGTCCCAGTGGGGGCCTAGCACTGATAGTGTAGTAGAAGCCAGAGGCCTCTAAGCAGACCCATCTCAATAAACACTCACAAGTAAAGATGTATGGGCGAGACTGTTCACTGTGTGGCTCACTGCATTGCGCTACAGCTTCCGTGACGAGATATTTTTCCCCCTTGTTTTCTTTATTTTTTATTTTATTTTATTTTATTTTGGGGGGAAGGTTGCAAGGCACAGAGTGAATACAAAGGGGCAGGGAAACAAATGGAATCGAGATGCCTGATGTGAAAGACACAAGGAACAAACAAAAAGTTTAAAAAAGAACGTGAATGCCCATTTTGTCCCCAGTACCGGGTTGTTCCCCGGGTGACCCTGTCCTGCCACCCTTGCAGCTGGTCTCAGGAAAGCTCAAACTTCTGCCCTCTTCTCAAGCCCTGTGTTAGATACAGTTCTGGAAGGCGGGGGCAGGGGGAGCTGCGGTCTGACCTTTCTGTCTTGGAGGACAGTGCTTATCCAGACTTCAACCATAAAGACGGCAGGTTCCTATTCAGGGAGCGTTGAGAGCTCAGGAACAGGCCTTCACTTAGTGTCCAGCAAGACAAATGTCTGGAGAAGGACGGCAATACAGGTTCAGGTCCATCCAGCACCCCGATTCTGGCTGGAGCTGAGGCCAATGTCTGTCAGGGGTGACAGAGCCAGATCCACACCAGAACTGTTGGTGGAGAAGAGACACAGCCGCTAAAATGCAGATTCTTGGGACGGTGAGAAGCCTTGGTGGGTTTAGGTGCTTACTACTAACTATGACAACCTGAGGTCAATTCCCAAGACCTATAGGATGAAAGAAGAAAACCAACTTTGAAAATTGCCCTCTGACCTCAATATGCTCTCCATGGCGCACACACACACACCACACATACATACACACCATATATATAAATATATACATATATTACATATACAATACATTATATATAAATTTTGTATATATACATTATAATGTATACATTCCCCTAAAGTCTCTGGAGCTTTGGTGACAGGATTATTTATACCCCCCAGCAGGACTTTGGACAGAAAAAGCGTATTCCTCGGCCCTCGGAGACTAGCAGCAATGCTTGGGCAGGATCCACACTGCACACTGCTCTCTGTGCAATGCTGCCCCTGTTTACACTCCTGCAACGGCACCCAAGAATCCTTCACTAAGCCCTGCTGGTCCTGTACCATGCTGCTCACCCCAAGGACTCACCTTCCAGAAGGAAACCCTACAGAGGCAGAGGCCTTGGGAGCCCTTGCTGGGGGGTGGCAGGAGGAGAGGACACATAACTAATTCTGTGCCCTGACCCTGATGATCTGACTTCGGGAGAGTGTGCTGTGGCTGCCGATCCAGGCACAGCCGGCTGGATTCACTTCAAGGCAGTGGACGACCCGCCTTCCTTACACTCTGGCCCAGGCCCAGGCTTGGCTAGAAGAATGCTCCGCGCTATCTCTCCCCAGGCTCAGACACAGATCACCAGATCGCGACAGTCAGGATGAGCTTCTCTGGGCAAGAGACAGCTCGTCTCCAAGACGCCTTGCTGTCCTTTCTCTTTAGATGACATTCCCAAATAAGGTAGGTGTTGAAGCCACAAAACAGAAAAAGGTTAAATCCACGGTGAAGCCGTGACCTCACAGCCACACGATATTTTCTGAATTTGCTTAATCTCTTTTCATTATTAGCATTATTGTTAGTATTAGTTTGGCAGAGGTCATTTGAGTTTGGCTCTCCGAGTGCTGTCTGGAAAAAGTCCAGCCCGCACACCAGGCTGCCCAGGCAGGCTCTCGGCTGCTGGGGACGGAAACGGGCATTGTGGACGTGGCCGCATCGCTAGGATTCCTTGTTGCAGACTTCTCTGACCTTCTGAGTCAAGCAATCTGCCGAGACCAGTCCCCTCATCTACCCAGAGGCCGCTCAGGAAATGCTTGACTCGCGCTCCGGGACTCCTGTGCCAAACAACAGAGATAGCGATCTGGCTCCGAACAATTGCCTCTGTAAGCAACACACTTCTGACTGCAGAAGCTGGGCCGACCGGAACAAGGCCCGGTCCTGCCGGCAGCCCGCCCCCGTGTGGTGCGCCAGGTGATGCCTGGGGAGCCAACCTGGAAAGTCTGTCTGTTGACAGCAAACAGAATGAGCGAGGCGCAGTCTGCCAGAACTGGCCACTAACCAGATTTCTTCGTGGGATTACATTATGAGAGAATTGTTGCAAATTTTTTTTTAACGTGGCTGGCTTAATGAGATATTCAAATGATGATCTGCGGCCTTCAGTGTAAACAAAGGCAAGCTCTTAGAACCAGCACTGACCACAGAAGGAAGGTCAGCAATTGGAGCAGAGAACTCTCAGGGAAGGGTGTCAGGTTCGAGGTCAGCCTCAGAGGATAACAGGCCAAAGGTCCTGAATCCAGAAGGACTTCCCACATACTGTTAAGGGATTTGGAGTGTGAGAGGGGGGGTATATCTTAGGATACTGATGGTAGAGGAAAGGCTGTGTGTCTGTCTAGCCCCTAGACTACCTGGGTGTCTTGCTTCCTATAACTGTTAATTCACGGCGGAGTCATGGCCCAGAACTGGTCTACCTTCCCTCACCTGTCCCCCTGGCCTGCTCCCTCACTTTATTCAGGCCTCAGCACAAACGCCACCGTCTTAGGAAAGCCTGTGTTGACCCATTACCCCATCTGAACGCAAGGCGCTGGCCCTGCTTCATTTCCCAGCGCCACACACGCTACTGTGCCCATGACATTTTGTATTGCCTACGCCTGAAGTAACCATCCTGGCAGGAGCAAAGATGTTCTGTTTCATTTACTTGTTTACTTATTTTGGGATAGGGTCTTCTGCATCCCACGCTGGCCTCAAACTCTCTGAAGAAAACCTCGAACCTCTGACCCGCCTGCCTCTCTACCTCCAAAGTTACAGGCACACGCCACCACACCCGCCTTGTACTATCTGCAAGGCTGTGGATTGAACCTGCGGCCTCCTGCATACCGCACAAGCACTCTACAAGCTGAGTTCCGCCTCCAGCCCCTTGCTGGTGAAGATATTTGTGCACCCCCTTGTCTATCAGACTGTTGAAATAATGGAACCCGTGAAATTGGGATCCCACAAGATTGTCATGCTGGGAGAAAGAAAAGGATGAAGGCAGAGAGGACCTTGTGTCCTGGAGTGAGATTTCACACACCCCTGAGGACTCACCAGGCCACCTGGCAGGAGATGGGTCAGTGGTGTGTGGAACTGACCTCGCCAGGGACTGTTCAGTAACGCGTACCTCTGGTCCTCTTTTTAAACCTGAACTTCACTGTCAGGACCCCAAGTAGATCTGGGGGCTAAGGGACCTCATATTTGTCCCTCTTCCCAGTGTGCCCTCACCGAATAAATCTTTCTCTACTTCTCACTGTTCTTCACCTCAATAATTGGCCTACTGAGGCAGAGTGGCCAAGCCTCCATTGCTGGGCTGCCAGAGCCCAGGTTCTGACCAGAACAGCTCTGGGAAGAAAAGCCGCCTCCTAGCTGAAATGCCAAGAGCAAGAACGTGCATTTTTCACTCACAGCTGGGTCCCATTTTGAAAATGCTTGATAAAGTCTAGGAAATGTTCATTGAATGAGTGAAGGAGAATCTACAGTTATGGTTGACTCAAACACCGAGCCCCATCATTTCACTGAGTTAGTGATGGACTCGCCCAAAAGGTATGAGAAAGAATATGCCAAGCGTGGAACGAAGGTTGTCTCGTGTAGAACCAAGAACTACAGCTTGTTTCTTGCACTTTTCAGTGAAAATAGGCCAATACACCATGTTGGGGGACCGGGCTGCGATTCCGATTTATAGCCACAAGATGGCACCCTTGCTCAGAGTCTTTACTCTGGAAAGCAGGCGAGTATCAGAAAATTCTCATTCCTCTTCCTCCTCCTCCTTCTTTCTCCTCTCTTCCCTTATCTTCTTCCTTCTCTTTTCTTCAGTAGTCTTCAGCAGCGCACGGAGAGCAAGCTTTTCCCGAAACTCTGAGAAGGAAGATATCAAGCAGGATTCTTCGCCCCAGGCAGTACTTGGCTCAAGACGCCTGACAGGAAAGACTGGACCCATAAATTTTATCTTCCCTGCTGTCCCCTGCCTGTCTGGCAGCATGAGGACCTTCAGGGTAATAGACCTCCCTCCCCTGGCCTTGTCCTCCACTACGAACCCCCAAACAGTCTCTGGGCAGTGCCTACCCTCAGGTCTGATTCTGAGAAACGATCAGCAGAGAGAGAGAGAGAGAGAGAGAGAGAGAGACAGAGACAGAGACAGAGACAGAGACAGACAGAGACAGACAGAGACAGACAGAGACAGACACAGAGACACAGAGAGAGAGACACAGAGAGAGAGACACAGAGAGAGAGAGAGACACACAGAGAGAGACAGAGAGACAGAGAGAGAGAGAGAGAGAGAGAGAGAGGTCTCCCCTTGGGGTTCTGTGGCCTTTGCTCCCTATTGGCCTAAGGAAAAACCATGTGGCCCTGAGCCTGTGGATTTTTTTGTGATATTTTGTATTTGGGGTCAAATTCCCAGGGATGGGGTGGGCTGCATTATGGGATCTGGTTTGCGGAAACAAGAAGACAAAGGGAAAGTCAGGGATTTTCCAACCTGACTGGGACCTGGCCTGCAGAAAGGTGGGCGGTACTGTCCAGCAGGCTTCCTCTTGTTTTCAGAAGGCCTTGTGCAAAGCAAACAGCCGGGGGCTTCTCTTTCCCGGGTCCTTATCTACAGAGCTCTGAGTGCCTGGGTTTTGGAGGCTGCCACCTGGTTCTAGCCCTCTGGGCCTAGCTGTTCGTGGTCCTCAGGAGCGGAAGCCAGTAGTCGCCTCTAAACTGAGACTGGGAAAAAGAAAATGAACCACGCCCATAGGAATTATGGGTGCTCCCCACCTCAGGTCCACTTCCCCTCTTAGCCTGCCGCAGCCACTCTGCAGGAAATGGTGGGAAGTGCTCACGCTAGGAGGTCATGCAGGGTGACAATTAGCACGATTATCAGAAATCATTCATTTCTGAGGCCCAGGAGTGACTCACGGGCTCTGATGTGCAGAGATGAAAGGAAGGTGTTCATGGCTGAGACACAAGCCTTCCCTTCTCCGCCCTGCCATCATAAATATACAAATATAATTAATATATAAATATATAAAGGCATCACTCTGCTGCCCATCCTCTGCCCCAACTGTCTCTGTACTGAACTGAACACCCATCTCCCTCTCTCTACTCTCTTCATCCTCCAAACAGCTCAAGCCATTCCCTGCTGGATCTCAGAGACCAGCTGTCACGTGTCATGGAGGGAGGGGTTCAAAGCCCAAGTCCCCAGACAAGGCACAGGCTGGTCTAGGGTGGGCTTGGAGCTAGCTCTCCCTGGGAACGTACCATTCTTATTCTGTTCGAGCATGTCTCTCAGTGCTTGGGCAAGCTGGAAACCTGGCTGTCGTTTAGAGCTCTGGGACCTCAAGAGAACTTTTAAGCCTCCATTTCCCAGTCTATAAAATATGGATAATAATAGCAGCAAGTCTGACTTATGAGAAGGACAAGATAAAATATGTAGTGTTCAGCACCAAGCCTCTTACAAAACAAGGCCAGGAGCTCTGTCCATGCCTCAGAATTCTTGTGTTATTTCCAAGAACTTGGGGATGCAGTACAAACTGTTCTGTGAGGCCTCTTCAGTGAAGATGCGGCCCTCCCCACACACCCCCAGGACTCAAGACTGATACTGTTACAGGAACCAAATGGCTCGGAAGATAGGGTGAGTGGCCCTAGCTGTTTCTCACTTCTGCCTCTGTGGGCTCTCTGGACCAGGTCAGACTGGGTTGTCGGGCGCACTTAAGAATGACTTACCACATCTCTGCCTTCTACTCCTTGGATCCAACAATAGCTTTCTGGCTGTCACTGTGGAAATGTCTCTGAAGCTGTCTGCAGGACGCCAGGTCTAGATGGATAGACGGACAGACAGATAGGCAGAAAGATAGTAATCCAAGTAGGCCTCATCAGGCTAAAGCCCTGGGGACAGTTGGGAGTTCTCGTCAGCCTCTTGATGCACATATTTTAGATGGGTGGATGATAGGTCCCTGGGGCTGTCCCTATCTCTAAAAAAAAAAAAAAAAAAAACACCGGCCTTAATAGGTGCTTTTCCTTAATAGGTGCTTTTCTTTTTATGGGGTCCAAGTGTGTCTTAGTGACCTTCCTATTTCTGTGATAAGACACCATGACCAAGGCAGCTTATAGAAGAAAGGGTTTATTTAGGGCTCACAGCTTTAGAGAATTAGAATCTTGGACCATCATGGCAGGAAGCACAGAAGCATGCTGGAGCCATAGTCAAGAGCTTACATATTGAGACACAGGCACAAAACAGAGAGAGCTAACCCGGAATGGCAAACTCAAAACCTAGTGATGCACCTCCCCCAACAAGGCCACAGCTACTAATTCCTTCCCAACACTTCCACCAACTGGAGACGGAGTATTCGGATATAAGAGCTATGGGGCCCTTCTCATTCACACCACCACAGAGTGAGGCCATCAGACGCTCCTTGCTCTGGTATGTTCACTAAGTTTGGGGCCTAGTTTTCATGATAAGCTTTTAATATACTCATGAGAACATATGTCCCCAAACTACTTATAATTAGATACGCTTCTATGTGGCACCTTTTTTGTTTGTACAAATGAATTATTGGTCAGCGCCTGAGAGTTGGTTCAAGAAAGGTTTTGGCATTTCTGTGCACCCATGAGATGCAGGCGTGCACCGCTTCTGACTTTCCACTCAGAATGGAGTTAACTGCTGCTGTGTAAAAATGCTGCCACTTAAGCAAGACACAGCCTGGAGGTTACTGCTTCATACAACTCGGATCAGGTACCACCTAACCTTCGTAAAAGAATCACGTGGACCCCCCAGGGGCCTGGAAGATGAGTTCCTGAGCTCTTCCCTCCTTGGAAGGTGATATTCTTTAGATGTGGGTCCTTAGCCTGAAGCAAAATACATAGAAACCTGTCCAGCCTCTAGGGCCTGGACAAGAAACAGTGCCCCCATGGCACTAAGTGGGTTCCAGTTCAACCAAGCCACTCACTCCCTATGTAAACTTGGGAAGTTGCCTGAACATTGCCCCTGACAGCCTCATCTGCAAACAAAGGCACTAATAGCATCTTCTCTGTAGAGATGACTTCAGGACTAAATGTCTTCACACTGGAATCCTTAGAGCAGAGCCAGGCACACAGCAAATCAACAAACACTCAAGTTAATAGGAGCTACCAGGAAGCAGGGTCTTCTCCAAGCACAGGTATCCAGGTCATGGCCAAAGGTGCTTCCATGGGTTCTTGACCATCTGCACAGGAGGACTAGGGTGGAGGTGAGGTGTGGGCTTAGGGGGTGGAGCTTAAGGTGGGGGGCGCGGGGGTTGGGGGAACTGACAGGCTTGTGTGTCCCCAGGGTCCTTCTCGGAGAGGCTGTTCTGGTGACCAGGGCCAGAGAGAAAACCCAGTGCAGAGACTCTGGGTCTCTCCGTCTCAGCCTCTGGGGATTGCTCTTTCAAGAATATTGGAGAAGAAAAAAAATTCCCCTCCCAATTTAGATTGGAGTCGGGGCCTGTGAACAAGCTGGCCTTAAATAGCAGAAAAGTCAAAGCCTCCACGTATGTGCAAAGACCGAAAGGTCTGCCTATGCACAAACTATACGAAAGAGTCGGCTTTGGAAAGCGGAAATGGCACATTTACATAATCGGTTTTGCACTGCCCTGGTGCCCAGACTGCAGGCCTCTGGGCAGGCGGCAGGTGTGGTGCTCCGATTTATCAGATAAGCGCTGTGAGCATTTCTTTCTACATCTGCAGTCGGGACCTCAGTCTGAGGGAAGGAGGGAGTAAGTTTGGGGAGCCCTAATACTTCCTATCTGGCAGAGGCTCCAGAGCAGAAGCCTCCCCAAACAAAAAACTGAAAGCCGCTGGGCACTGCCAAATGTCCCGGATGACTTACTGGTTCCGTGCGATAAATCACCCTCCAGCGTAGCCGCTCAAACAAACAGAAACCCCGCATTCATCATCTCCCACAGATCCAAGCGGCAGGAATCTGGAAGCAGTTCAGTTGGGTGGTTCCGGTTCAGGGATCCTCCTGGAATTGTGGTCAAGATGTTGAACTGTCTGACAGCACGTGAGGGCTCCATGGGGCCAGAGGAACTCAGTCGTGATGGTTCCGCACGTGGAGTTGGCAGGAGCGTCCCTCCCTCATCACATAGGCCCTGAGGTGGTTGCGCGAACTCTCCACGGAAGCTGGCCTCCTCCACAGGGAGGACCTCAAGCAGGAAGCGAGACAGATGCTATCTCTGAGCCAGGCTCCACAGTGCATCCCAGAACATCTGCTGTTTTGGGGGTCATGCATCACGGAAGGAGATGATACCAGAACCTAAGTCTAGGAGTCGGGGCTCCACCTTGAAGGTTGGCACCTACAGCCTTCACTCTCCCCGTGCCAGCCTATCTCTGCCAGGTGTGCAGAGACCCTCAGAGCCGGGGAGAGTGAGATTTGGGGCACCCTCTGCTGCCCCACCTGCCTCAGTGAACAACACACCCACTAACCTGGACCTTCAGCAGTGGTGGGTTGGAGGCCCAGGTAAGAGCATAGCTTCTGGGCCACCTATGTCGCTATGTTGATGTTATGCTTCCTAGCACGCACAGAGTAATGGGTGTGATCCCCCGCACCACAGAAACTGGGCATGGTGCCTCACCCCTATAATCCTAACACTAGGGATGTGGAGGTATGAGGATTGGAAGTTTAAGGCCACCCTGGACCACTGGAAGACACTGGCTCAGAATAATAAATAAAAATAAACAGAAAGCTGTTCTACCACTACCTTGTCATAGGGAGGCTGGGAAATAAGACGTTCACACCCAAACCCCGGTCAATCAGGAAATGTGCCTCTGTAAATGGCGGCCCAGGCTTTCAAGACCGAGGACTAGGGGACCTGAGGAAATTCTGCTGGCTTCAAAGAGAAGACAGTGCCTAAATTCTCACACCCAAGGCTCTTCCAGATCCCAGATCCTGATATGTGGATGACTTCTGGCATCTCCATGCTCTCCTGGCCCGACCGGAATCATCTGCTCTTCTTGCTGTGGAATCACTTCCCTGCTGTTCCTGTCCAGGTGCATCCATGAGTCTGCCGGACTCACCCTGCACCCCTAGGTCTCCTGACCCAGCTAGCGGAAGTCAGGTTAATGGCAGGTAGGAACCATAAAGCTGCAACCCGTGGAAATCTCCTTTCACCCCTCCGTTTCTCCAAGGACACAAGACAGGGACTCAAGCAAGTCAAGGCTGTGCATAGAGAGACCCTGACTGAGACCAGCGATTCGAGAATAACAGACAAGGTTAAAGATTGCAGAATCGAACCATAGGCTTTCCCTGGAGCTGCCCAAGGCCACCTCCCACAGCCCAGTCCCCCCATTATGGCCTCTCTGTCTCCTCTGATCAGGCCCTGGCTGGAGCTTTCTCCTCTTGCCACACACATTAAATATTAACTTGGCTCTTGTTTTGGTTTAGCGTTCTGTTTGTGCTTACAGTAAATTAACCTTCCTGCTGGGGGTTAAGGCGTTCGGGTCCTTATTTGTATAGGCAGGACTCACTTTTTAAATTCCTTCCCTCAATGCGTAATCTTATATTCCTCTCCTTCCCTCAGAAGTCATTCCTGTGATTTTTGTGTCCCACCAACCTGTTTGTTATTGGTATCCAAGCTCAACACGGGCGTTATAGGGGGCATGCTTAAACAAGTACATGAATGGCCTTTTGGTGGACGCCTCTCACTCTCTCTCCCCCGTACAGGCCAGAGTGTGCCTTCCATCATTTGCATATAACAATTATCCATCCATTCTCCTAGCAACACGTTTCTAGATGTTTCCAATTCATCCACATCACAAATGACTCTGAGATGGGCTTAGGTCCTCGGGTCTCCCTGAGCCTGGCCAAGTCCCTCGGGGATGGTCTGAGAGCACTAAGATATGCCAGAGTCATTATTTCCCAGAGAGCCTCTCTCTCCTCTCCTCTGTGCCAGTGTCTGCAGCCAGCTTCTAAGACTGGTCAGTGCGGCAGGAGTACAGCCACGCCCAGGCCTTCCTCAGGGCTCCTGCTGGCTTCCAGGTACATAGCGTCAGTGTGTCTGTCTTGGTTGTAGGCTTTAAGTCGGCTTTTCAGTGCCAGATATGAATTCTCTTCTGTAAAGTAGGCCTCAAATCCAATCCGAAAATAGTTGGTTACCTCATAACAGACTCCCATTGTTGTGTGTGGGCTCATCTTGCCCAGCTGGTTGGCATTATTACACACAGGGCCAACCACCTGTGGCTGAGGAGGTCCCGGACCCAAGTGAGGAAGCTACTGCTGCTGCTTTGTCAAATGGCTACAATGTGCCTGTCAAACTGCCTTTTAAGAAGTTGCGCTTATGCCCCGTGTTAGTCTTGTCATCCGGCTTAGTCACTGAAGCCCCTCTCTGTGATGATTAGAGACGGCAGCAGAGACCTACAACTGGTCAGTGTACCGAGAGGCAGTGCTTGAATGCCCAGCCATAGAGGGACAATCAATCTCACCCCTCGAAGGCTTAGGGAGCACTGTAGAAGAAGAAGGGGGCAAAGCCAGAGCAAGTCGGGCAGTGGTGGGGAATTCGATGGCACGCGGGCTGCACTCTTGAACTCAGCAGCAGCTATGATCACCTGCACAAGATTGGACTGGGCAACACCCTGCCATAGAATGGGGAGTGGCTGTGGGACTCCACCCCTCGCTGAAGATTTAAGTATAGTTAGTGGTTGATGGGAAGGGAGAGTCTTTATTTAGTGGTGTAGCCACTGGTAAAAGACCCGCGCTCCTGTAACAGTCTCTCACTCATGATTTATTAGGTCACACGTGCATACATGACAGTAAACAGTGAGTGATCTCACTGCCTCCTGGGAACTGATACTGTGGCAGAAAAAGGACTGGGGAGGAGACGTGGCTCTTTCTAGCTTTTGAGTTTCAAAATCCAGGATTGGAACCAAAAAGCATAGGCAGTACAGGAAACGGGACTAGCAGCAAAGCATCGTAAACATAAACGAAGAGCAGGGCGCTCCCCTTGCGGAGCCCCGCTTAAACCGTGGCCAGCTGGGCGAAGGAGGAAGTGGAAAAGCTCCGTCAGGAAGGCTGAGGCAGGTGCACAAGGCTCCAGCCGGGGTCAAGGGCGAAGCGGGCTGCAGCCTGTGGACGCAGGGTCAGGCCTGCCCAGACCTTTTCTAACAGGCTATTGTAATGCGGCAATCTGGCCTAATGCTTTCTGATTTTTCAATCTTTTCGTAAAAATCCAAACTGAAGTTTTATTTGGAAGCTCTTTCATAAAAAATATGAACTGACGTTTTATTTAAAGCTCTCTTTTTAAAAAAGAATACTATTATGGAAAACTTTAAACATATTTTAAAATAAACAAGGAGTATAAGGAACCGCTTGGCACCAGCTCCCCGAGTTTCAACAGGATCCCTAAGAACCACGCCCCCCTGCAGCCCCGCCCACTTCTCTGTTCTAGTTGTCGCCCAGACTCATTGTTTCCTTTGGAAAGTCAAGGACTCCTGGGGTTTTATTTGTTTAATTGCCTTTTGCTGTGTCCACCAGTGGAGGTCAGAGGTCAACTGTGGGGTCAGTTCTCTCCTCCCACCAAGGTGGAACTCTAGTCGTAAGGCTTGCAACCAGGGAGTACCGCGTGCCCTCACCTGCTGCAAGGCTGGCACCATGGGGTAGCGCAGTGCCCTCACCTGCAGAGTCAGCCTCAGCCCAGGACACACACCACAGCAGTCTCCGCTCTGGTGACACAGCAGGAAGACCCTCTGATAGCTTAGCTTTATCCTTTAAAAAAGAAAAGAAAAAGGAGCCTGCGCAAAACTCCTAGTTCATTTGCGAACAGATTCTGTTTCTCGTTCTGAACTGGCGAGTGTATGCTTTTAGCAGAACGATTTTTACTATATTTGTTTATTATTTTATTAATCATTTCCTGGTTTTATATTTTAGTTTAATTATCATGTTTTGTCATCTTTTTTTCTATTGTCTCCTTTGTTTATTCATATCTTGTAATACATTTTCAGCAGTAACAGGCAATTAGCCTAAAACAGACAGCGGCTTTTTTTTTTCTATATTTAGCCCTGAATAACAACAGTCATGAATGGCATCAGTCATCTTCCAGGAGGGAAAGGGTGCCACCCACTGTTTACCCATAAAGGCTAAGAAAATTCAAAATAACTTTAAAGATCATATAATGGAGAAGATATTTAATAAGTGTTAAGAACTTTAAGCATATACCACTTTGAAATACAGCCCAAAAAATGCACACAGTACAGTAGAGGGTGAGCTCGCTCAGCGGACAGCAGTTTCCTGCTCAAAGCCCCGGGCTCATCCTTAGAACTGGAGAAAGGGGTGGTGGTATAAACACAAAGACTTTACATTTGAGAAAAAAATATATAGTAAGAACTTTTTGTTGGTGTGCATATATGATGTGTGTGTGTGTGTGTGCGTGCAAGAACGCATGTGTCATGGAGAGCATGTGGGGGTCAGGGGTCAAATTTCAGAACCAGGTTCCTTCTTTTCACCTTGGGATCCCAGAATCAGACTCCTGTTGCTAAGCTAGTACGAGTTTTGTGCCCCTTCCTCATTTCAGCCTGAATTCTGCTGCAGAGAACAGAACCCAAATAGACCAGCTCAGCCAGCTATGTCCCAGGAAGGGGCTGCGGGCGACACCCAAGGATGCAGACCCACATTCCGTGCGCCGTTCTTCGTCTGTTTCATACGATGGCTGCTGTGCTCTAGGGCATTGATTTCGCAATCTAAGCACGAGAGAAGTATGGAAAGAAGCCACATGCCAGCTGAATTCATCTCGAAGTTGAAAAGCAGCAGCATTTCAGGAAACCCCACCCAATGTCCTCCCTTTCAGGTCTCTTCAGGCCTCAGTTACGTCACATGGCCACTTGTGGCTACGGGAGAGCTTTGTTTGCATGTTTATTTTTAGCCTGAGTGCATTGCCATCCTGCACAAAATTAGAGTTATCACAATGAGAAAATGTCCACACTATACGAGGTGATGTGTCACAGGGCAACAGCTGCCCTCCACAGGCCAGAAGCTAGTTCTGCGGGATAAATGGTGTGTGCCTCCCAGCATCTTCATAGGAACCCTGAGCCTCAGCGTGATGGCGTTTGGAGACGGGACTTTACCTGGGGATGTGCGAGTGGGACCCTCACGATGGGTTTGCTGCCATTATTAAGAGGAAAAGAAAGAGAAAGAGATCTTTTTATGAGCATCCCACGTAAACTTGGACAGCATGAAAGTCACTGTTGATAAGCCAGGCAGCGGGACCCTGTAAAACACCGCACCATCCAGCACCTTGCTCTTGGTCTTCCTAGCCCTAAAAACCAGGGAAAAAACAAACTTCTATTGTTCAAGCAACCCAGTGTATGCCATTTTGTTAGAGCAGACCAAGCTAAGTCAAACAGAAGCAGCAACATCCACACACACACACATGCACACACACACATGCACACACAAACACACAATATACCACAAACACATACACACAATACACATACATGCACACACACATACAAACACACCTATACACACATGCACGCACATACATACAAACACATATACACATACACATATATACACACACAAACACATATACACATACAAAGAGGGAAGGCAGTGGAGTCAAGGATGCGCAGAGTATTATAGAAGCAAGCAGGAATTGAGCCCAGACAGTGCCATGACTGCCTCACTGTATGACATGGGGAATGCTTGCTTGACATAAACCGTCCATCTCCTGAGCATGTCCCCAAAGCTTCCCTTGAAGGAGGTGGGGTTACACACCCCAGCCCACTGTAGTCCTTATTCATATGATTCAGGCCGGCCCAGAGCTCAGGAGGGACACCTGCTCTGCTTACATCGTCTCAGACTGCGCCTTCTAAACGGCTGTGCTCTAGGTCTGTGAATGCCTTGGAAGGTCCATGTTGGGCCTGGCACTAGGGACATCCTAGTAGATGGTGTGTGGGCGCTGTGCAGGGAACATGGCAGACTACTACCATCTACTGTTTCTCTACTTGCTCTGTAACAGAATCAGGTTCTGAGACAGCAACATACCCAGCAAGAAGATAGCACCTCCCAGGTTTCCTTGCAACTGAGGCTGGTCCTGCGGCCCACAGTGGGTGCCCAGAAGATGTCTACAAAGGCTTCCCCATATCCTTTCCTGTCCCAGGATAGACAGGGCAGCTGAACTCTGGCATGTGAACTCTTGA